GGGCAACTCGTTATCCTTTGGAAACATATTCTTCAACATTTTCAGCAAGTTTTCAAATGCCGAGTCAGCTACACCTGCCTCTGCCTTCCATTTCAGCAAATCCAGTGTGCAGCCCAGCTTTTTCAGACCATCATCGCATCCGGGGTACAGCGCCTTTCTGTGATCCTCTAACATGCGATCCAAATTCTCCCTCTCCTTTTCAGTTTCGCAGCGTCTCCGTGCATCAGCAATGGTCCGACCAAGATCATCAACGGGATCATCACGTGCCTCTTCTTCACCTTCCCCTTCACCTTCAGCATCCTCCATGAAAGTATCACCGAAATGAGCAAGATAGCTTTCATCGATGAAATCATCCCCTTCTTCATCTTCTTCCATTATAACTCCTCTTTCTCCATGCTTGGTCCAACAATTATAGCTTGGCATGAAACCGTGCCGAAGCAGATGCATGTGAACATCTCTTGAGGAAGAGTAACCCTTCTGATTCTTACAGATAACACATGGACAGATAACAAAACCCCCCTGCTTGTTCGCATTAGCCACTACGAGGAAATCTTTCAAACCCGTAGTGAACTCGCCGGAGAGTCGGTTACCGTACATCCATTGCCGATTCATCTACATTATTATAATATAAAATATATAATTAACCATCATGCATTTGTTAAACTAACTAGCTACAAACAATATAAATTAAACAATGAACTGCACACATGCATATTTTATCAATGACACACATGCATGAAAGGTTCAAGTTGCTAACCGCGATCGAGGAGGAAAAAATAAATGAGGAACCTCAAGTGTGGCTCCAACACTTCATATCATGTTTGTTTCACCCTCTTAGGGCATTTCATCAAACACCTTGTGTGCATAAGAGGAACCAAAAGCAAACCTACACCCCCTTGTGAAGCTTGTGAAGAGAAGTGGCACCAAATGGCTAAGTGAGCGTGCTGAACTGGTATATATAGGGGAGGAGCTTTAGTCGCGGTTGGCCTGGCCAACCGCGACTAAAGGCCTTTGCGCACCTTTAGTCGCGGTTGGCCTGGCCAACCGCGACTAAAGCCCCTCACGTGCACCAGCTGGCCACCGAGCGCCCTGGGCCCAGGCCTTTGGTCGTGGTTCGTCTGCCGAACCGCGACTAAAGACTTCATTAGTCGCGGTTCCTACAGTTTCGCGACTAATGGGGCTGGACGGAAGCCTCTTTTTCTACCAGTGAATTCATCACATGACTTTGATAAATGCTCCAGGACGAACGCAAGGTGAAAAGATAAGGTTCCCATCAAAAGCATGCTTATCGGGATTTACACACATATCGAAACAAATGGGAATATGAGAGTCTTACAATGAAGGTGCACATAATCGTATACAAATACTATATGTTAAGATGACAAATAATATCCCACCAAGGGTTGGCATTAGTGAGTACTTAAGAAACTGCATAATCATATTTATCAAAGATCATATGTTTCTATGCTAGTAGTGCATTCACAGCAACCTAGATAGTTTTACGAAGCAATTATTCTCCTCATGTGATACATAAGAAACTATGTATGTACCTATATGAAGCTATCCATGTGTATTAGTTTTAGCTAACATAAGGATACACCAGCAATAGCTATAGAAGTGCAGACCTGATATAGATCACAATCGAGTCCTAAGAGGCGATCTGTTCAACAAAATTTAGGAATGAGCTCAGCAAAAAGGACCAGAACTGTGGGTGTGTGTGTGCGTGCGTGCGTGTGTGAGAGAGAGAGGAACCTGAGAGAGACCGAGCACATCGAGGTTCTCCTTCCTCTTGCTCCTTCCTAATCACAACATGGCAGAAAATCAATTGTTGTTTCAGGAATGAGCTGATCAAAATGACAATGTCTCGGAAGTTAATAGTTGACAGATGGCATCATTGCAGCAACAAAACCTAAAAATGACAACCAAGAACAAATAGACGTGATATAGTGACTCTTTGGCACATGTCAGTTGGATGCAGATAGCATGTAGATGGACACAAAAATTCAAAAGAGGAAAGGAAGCAAATCGCGCAACATCATGTGAACAATCATACCTCATTCCAAGCTTAACCAGAAAAAATTCTGGTGGAATTGCTACGATTATTTGTAGGTTCAATAATTGACTGACACTGTTCTTCGACTGAGATGATCCAAGACTGTGGCTAACCGCTTAGGCCCACACTACCAAATCGGAGCAGTGGTACTACTAATGCCAAATATAGCATAGTTGAAAGACAAAAACTAAAGACATAAATATATTTATCAATGTGACGCAGACTAATTATCATATTGTTCAATGGACATAAATAAGTTAATTCTCCATTATATTTATCGAACTAATTATCATGATGCTCAATGGACCAAACAAGTTCGAACCAACCACTGTAGATTGCAGAAACCTTAATGATAATCAAACACTTTTTTTCTTTTTGCGGGGAATCAAACACTAATGAATTGTTAAACTGATTGTTTCTGTCGATGGAATCAAAAGAAGGAAGATTCTGGCAGCACTTTTTTGACATTGCCAGAGTTAACAGAATTGGATATCTTTTTATGGATGGGATGGAAGGAACCCGAATCAGGATCAGGGGCTGGTTCCGTCAGGCTTACCATCTTCAAGGCAAGTATCCCGTCATATGGCTGGTACGTGGCGACCCCGCTGATGGTGAGGTCCCTCTCCTTGGGCTCCTCCATCCATTCCCTCACTAAATCTAGGGATAGCTGCACAATCATCAGCACCAGCTATGTCAGGCTATTGATACTGATTTCTAGAACAAAAAATGAAAGGTTTTGAGAACAAAACATAACAAGAATGGAGGGAGAGGCACTTACGTGGTTCTCAGCGAGGTCGAGCTGGATGACACCAGCTGGGTTGGAGGCGGGGTGGTAGGGGTCGGCGGCGCAGCGGCGGAGGCCGGCGTAGTAGAGGGAGTCCTCGCCTAAATTTATTCTATTTTTGGCAGGGAAGAGAGAATAGGGAAATGTACAGTCCTAATACTACTTAAAAAACAGTACGGACAATGTCATAGGAAATTAGTTATGCAAAAAAGAAAATGGCCAAAACTATATAGCCTGGTCGGAGTTTCATTCTTGTTAATTGCAGACGCATGCCATGTTGTACAACACATTCTCTTAGAATTAGATTTACTTTCAAGTGTCTCGTTGTGGTCAACTATCACAAATACATACTATGTAAAAACCTAGCTAGATCCAAATCTCCAGGACATCAAGGTACCAACATAACATGACTGACCCAAAATTTGTTTGGAACCTAGCTAGACCTGAGAATCTACTCCACAAGAACAAACCAATAACCTCTTTACAAAAACCTAGCCAGTACTTGACTCCTTTCCTGAGACGGGAAGGGAGCGACGCCACCAAATGGTACAAGAACATAACAGGAAAAGAAGCTCACCCAACTAGATTGTGGCCGACATGGTCACTGGAAGCAAAGGTGGAGCGAGGGCAGTTGATGCGAAGACCAACTTTGGGAATGAGGGGGGCATTTTCTTCCTCCCACGTGGCTTCCATGTCCTCCTCTTCTTCCTCCCCTATGACCTCTTCTCCTTCCTCCCCCACGGCCTACTCTTTAGGGTTATATGTGCCGGTGCAAGCGGGGGTGTAGACCAGCGTCTAGGGTGGGGCATCGGTAGACTGGGGCGAGGTGGAGTCCCGTCTATTGATGGCGGCACCGGAGACGGCCATGCCCAAGAGGAATCGATGGTGGCGGCGGCGGCAGTGTTCGCACGGGGAGAGGAGGCCCCGCGAGAGCGGGCGTCGCGGAGGAGGAGGCGGCGGCCGTGAGGGACCCTGGGGACGGGCAGGGCGGCGGTCGAGCGGCTGGGAAGGGGAAAGGGAAGGACGCGTGGATGAGGAGGCGGCTAGGGTTCTACAGGAGCTGCTGGATTTTATATACCCATAGGTGAAATGACGACTATACCCTTGGTGCACCGATTTTACACATGGTGGCATGAGTTTTCTACCACTATTCACTGCTACAACGCCGGGTCTCGATCCGATGGCCCAGCTCCTCCAGTGGCTTGATCTGACGGCGTAAATCGCATCAAAAAACGATCCGACGGCTAGAAGTCCCTGAGCGTTGAGAGAGCTTCATTTTCCCCTCGGTTCTTATCTCTGGATATGATGAGGTGGCATGCTTACATGTTGAGATAAATAAGTTAGTGGGGATGACTCTCTTAGATATATAAGATGAGTATTAAGATATTTCTTGATGACTGATTCCACTACACATCAAGTTTGATCCTCAATAAACGGGGGAAAACCCTCGTGCCACACCTGTCACTTCTAGGAATTGAACTCGGGTCGTTAGACCCCTAACAGTGATTTGTAGTACTTGATAAGATAGCTTTTAAGCTTCATGTGTACTTGAATCTGCCTTTCATCTTTTCGGAGACTAAAAATACACTTTTTTTATGTCGTCTATTGGCAACCATTTGAAAGTATTGTGTATTACCCTCCCTCCAAAATGAAGTCGGCATTGGATCTTTGGTATCACTTGATTTTCTCTTCTGGCAATAGGGCAATCTTTTTATTGGATTGATTTTTCGTATCAAACACGTTTTCAGACAAGACGTAAGTCTCCGTGATTTTATCAACGCCATCAATAATACTCCTTCAGTCTCAGAATATGTGTCTTAACTTTGTATTAACTTTATTTTAAGACATTTATTTTGGGATGTACTACTGGTGCGTTTTCCATGTAAAAGAACGATAAGAATGTTCAAGAACATTCTTGCCAAGTATCTATCCTGACTCTGTTTGAGATGCAGATCCATAGGCGACATGTCAGTACCTAATCGCCGATCCCTTCCGGGCTAAGTCACCTCGCAATGTCCCCGAGCCGCAATACTTGAACGCCCGAAAAGGACGGCGAGCACGGCTCCAGACAGCCAAAGCAAAGGTGAGCCACCGTCCATTATTGCACCAAAAGCACCAAAGCGGCCGCTGCTGTGCTTGCAGCTGCCGAGCTGATAATTAAGCATGGGTGCCGCGCGCGCATGGCGCTGGAAGCTTCTGCCCTTCCACTCCAGGCCGCCGCCGCCGCCGCCGACGCCGTCCCTCCCTGCAACCCTGTCCCCGGTGGACAAGGAGGAGGACGTGCCACGGGAGTTCCTGTGCCCGATACTGGGCGCGCCCATGTCCGACCCGGTGATCCTGCCGTCGGGGCGGACGTACGAGCGCGCCTGCATCCAGGCCTGCGCGGAGCTTTCCGTCTCTCCACCTGGCGTGGAGGGAGACTCGCCGGCATCGGGTGGGGTGGTTCCCATACCCAACGACGCGCTCGGAGCGGCCATCCGGACTTGGAGCGCGCGGTCCGGACGCGCGCCGCCTGAGGCCCCTTCCGCCGCTGCGGCACGGGAGGCCGTGCTACGCGCGGTTCCAACTCCGCGGCCCCCGGGCAGGTCGTCTTCTAACCTTTCCTGCTCCTCCAGGGCGTCCGCTGCGTCGACGTCGTCGTCGTCCTCCCGGTCGTCGTCAGAGATAACGGCGGTGGAGCAGCTGGACATGGCGTGCGCGAAGGAAACAAAGTCGTTGCGGGTTGGTGAGGGGGAGGAGGAAGTGGGCCAGTTATCAGTGAAGGCTGTGGGCGGCGGAGACGAGTGGGAGGTGGAGTCAGCGATGGCGGCGCTGCGACGGGCGACGCGGGAAAGCGCGCCGAGGAGGCGGGCGCTATGCGTGCCGCAGCTGCTCGCTGCGCTCCGTCGCGTGCTGCTGTCCGCGCGTCACTCCGCCGCGGCGCGCGCCGACGCCACCGCTGCTCTGGCCAACCTCTCCCTCGAGCCTGAGAACAGGGTGCCCATCGTCCGCGCGGGCGCCGTGCCGGCGCTGGTCGAGGTTGCCAGCTTGGGTGCTGCAGCCCCGGAGGCGTGCGAGCACGCGGCAGGCGCTCTGTTCGGCCTGGCCCTGCACGAGGGCAACCGCGCCGCCATCGGCGTGCTCGGCGCCTTGCCTCCTCTTCTGGCACTCCTTACCGCCGGCGACCAGGCCCCGCGAGCGCGCCGCGATGCCGGGATGGCTCTGCTCCACCTCTCCCTCGCCGCCGTTAACCAGTCTAAGCTCGCGCGCGCCCCGGGCGCCGCCAAGAACCTGCTCTCCATCTCCTCCGATTCCAACGAGCCGTTGCCCATCCGCAGGCTGGCCCTCATGGTGATCTGCAACGTCGCCGCCTGCGCTGAGGGCCGGACAGCGCTCATGGACGCCGGCGCCGTGGCGACGTTCTCCGTCATCCTTTCCAACGACGCACACAGGTCGGAGCTTCAAGAATGCTGCGTCGCGGCATTGTACGACATGAGCAAGGGGAGCCCGCGGTTCCGTGGGCTTGCCAGAGCGGCCGGCGCCGACCGGCCGCTCATCCTCATCGCCGAGCAAGCGGACCCGGGCGTTCACAAGGACATGGCGCGGAAGGCTCTGCGAGCAATGCTGGGCCTGGGCGACATCAACGGCGGAGGTCTTCATGATTTCAGCAACAGCGAACGCAACGACGATGACAGCGGCACCATGGCGTCGTCCCTGCCGGTCCGCCGCCGGCGCGCCGCGAGCTGGGGAGCTCCTCCTGCCTCGAAGCTGTCAAGTTCACACCACTGGCGATCAGTATGTATCGATTAGCTTTAGTTCTTGAGCTGGGTGTTGCTGTGTTGTCATCATTGCAGTGGATTCATGCAGTGCTCCATTTTACCTGCTTGGTCTGTAATTTTGAATGGATGTGAAATTAAAGACAATTGTGCAGTGGAATCTGGCGCATATGTTTGTGCTCCACTTTGTTTATATATATTTTTCCCTGAAAAGGCTTTAGATCTAGATCAAACCATCGGTACAGATATCCTAATAAAATATAAAGAAAATATACCTAGATCTCTAGGGCTGATCATCTTTTTTGCGGATAGAAGAAGATTATTCATGAACCCATCTATGCGTTGGATATACCTGCTCTACCCAGACAGGCGCATAAGTGGGAACCCCAAAGACAGGGTGCCTTCACATCAATATAGGTGATGCATATGTTTGTGCTCTACTTTGTTCATATGTTTATTTACAATAAAAGACTTAGATCTAGCTCAAATCAACAAATATCCCTAAAAAATGAGGAAAATATATCGAGATCTCTAGGGCTGATCATCATCTTTGCAGATACAAGTAGATTATTCACGATCTCATCTTTGTGTTAGATATACCTGCTCTGGCCTTGGTAAGCACGAGCGGACAAGTGCATAAGTGGGAACCCCGAGGCGGGGTGCTTTAAGATCAATGGAGATGTCGTATATGTTTATGCTCTACTTTGTTCATAAGTTTTTCATAAAAAGGCCTTTGGTCTAGATCAAACAAGTAGTATAGATATCCCTAAAAAGAATAAAGAAAACATATCAAGATCTTTAGGGCTAGTCATCTTCTTTGCAGATACAAGGAAGATTATTCATGAACTCATCTCTGGGTTGGATCTACCTATTCCAGCCTTTGGTGCGCATGCGTAGACATGTGCATAGTGGGAACCCTCCGAGGTGGGGTGCGTTAAGATCAATGGAGATGGCACAATCTGAGAAGTAGTTGAATGTGCGGCATCAGAGCATGTCCAACAGCAGCAAAAAAAATTAATGTCCTAAAAATGGTTTAGGTATGGATGGAGAAGGTTTTTTGGGCACCAACAAAATTTCTGCTTCTTTAACTGCCCTAAAACCGGTGCCCTAAAATTTGTCCTTCTTCACATAGCACACACATTTGAGCATATGCAATGTTATAAAATAATATCAAACTAGATGAATGGCCCATGCGTTGTTACCCTCATGTGTCATATACTACCATGTCCTAAAGTGAAAAAAATATGTCGCATCGCTTTGTGCCGTCGAGGATGGTTTTTTCCGCAAACTTAGGCACACCCACACACCGGATTCATTTAGTTGCACCCTTAACTTTGAATTGCATCGACAGATTTCTTGTGAGATTCTCTTCCGTAAACAAATAAAGCACAAAAATGAATTAATGGATAATCAATCCATCAAACTTAAGAGGTGGTAGAAGATGAAGTAGATGAGATTTCTCCACCCACGACCGGCATGTATGCGTGCATCCTAGAGATGTGGAAGGACAAAGGGAAATCGGAGCAACCTATGCCACCCAATTTAGGTTGCATGGCTACTAATGATTGGGGTGATGTGGGGGCACATATGCGCTGTAAATATCAATTAATGACTTGTAATGGGGTTTGTCTGTATAAGATATATAGATTAATCTGAAACGGATAAAACACAAATAGTACTTAATTATTATATAGTTCATCAACTTGGAAATGGTGTCCTCCATTGATAGCAATGTGCAATGGCGGAGGGTACCTGGGTGGCGGCCGGATGAGTGATGGGAGGGAGGACATAGGCAAAGCATGGCTAGCGCCCGAGTGGAGTGGCTCTGTCCAGGAAGTCCTGGGTGACGCTTTGGGTGGTATAGTGGCGATATCGGTATTTGACTACACGGATAAAGAGCAAGGGTGGAGGGACAAAGTGAGAAAATCAGGGCTCCGGGTCGGGTCTTTGGGTGGGCTGGGGGTGTCGAAGCCCTACATGGCAGAGATCATGTTGGTGCAATGATAGGCTCCTTATGTTTTGGAGTTTATTGACATAAACAGTATGGGACTTATGTGTTTGCTAGTGCACACAGAGTAACAGGTCCCTGAGAGATTGAGTCGTTTGATGCAAACGACGAAGATAATCTCGCTGAGTTGCAGCAAAGGTTATCACCGAAGGTGATGCTAACAAGAGTGACACCTAAAAATTGCTGAAGTTCAAGCAATTGGTTCGGTGTCTGTTCGAAGAAAATGACTGCGCTCGAGGAAGAATGAAGATGAAGTGAAGACATAGCATTTATTTCGTTGTTCTTCTTCTTTCATTGAGTCATAGGACCACCGTACTATTAAGAGGGGTTTAGCGTTTGAAACTTTGATTCTCTGATGCTAAACCCAAATCCTATGAAGGTTGTGAGAGAAATCTCTTTGTGTTCTGAGCAAATACTTGCCAGCAAGAGAATGTGATCTTCTTCGCTGCAAGAGATTTGTCTCGGCCCGAGGAGTTAGCATTACTTGTTCCTCAAGTAATGTTACCGTTGCTCCAACTCCGGCCGTTGTGAACGTGTCGGTTGGCCATTGGCTGGGCCGAGTGTCCAAAATGGTCATTTCCTATCTGTGAAGGTTGCGGCTATAAATAGCTACCCCACGCCGGCTTTGTCCGGCAGCTGCTCCGTTTGATTGTGAGAAGATTGTTGAGCAACCCACTCTCTAGGCAATTTGAGTTTAAAATCCACCGGGAGAAAAACCCTAGAGCCGAAGAATTAGATAGTGGTTCATGTTGGGGAACATTGCATGGGAAACAAAAAATTTCCTATGCTCACCAATATCAATCTAGGAGATGGACATCTAGGAGAGGAGAGATTGCATCTACATACCCATGTAGATCGCTAAGCGGAAGCGTTGAGAAACGCGGTTGATGTAGTCGAACATCTTCGCGATCCAATCGTGATCCGTCCCACGAACTCCCAATCCAAGTGCTGAACGGTCGGCACCTCCGCGTTCAACACTGCACTACTAGGGAAAACCCTAGTAGTAGTGTGGGTTTAAAGCCCACTAGTAGCGCGTGCTGCCGCGCTACTAATAAGGCGCTACAGCTATTACTTAGCAGTAGCGCGTGTGACACGCGCTACTGCTAAGACACATAGCGGCAACGCTTCTTCTCTCCCGCGCAGCTGCTAATCTAGCTAGTTGCAGCGTTTTTACTATCCATCGCTACTAGTATTCTTTTTTATTTTTTTATTTTTAGTGTATTTATACGCCGTTATACAAATTTTGGTACAATACCAATTATGAGGTTTATATCATTATGTCCATAACAGTGTGTCAAATGAAGGTGGATTAGGTTCAAGTGGAGGCAATATGTGGTGCATGTCAAAAGTATACTACTAATCCAAACTTGATCTTGTTTGGACTAGTAGTACTTTTGATGTGAACCACATGTTGCCTCCACTTGAATCTAATCCGCCCGCACAAGCTATTTAATCATCATCATAGTCATTACCACCAATAGTATTTATTTAATCACCATAGTCATAGTGTAGCACATAATCATCTTCAAACTCATTCTAGCTAGCTAATCACCACCAACACTAGATGCGGTAGCTATCTAATCACCACTAACACTAGCTAATAATAATCATCATAGTCATTACCACCAACACTAGCTATTTAATTATCATAGTCATAGTGTAGCACACCATCATCTTCAAACTCATTTCTAGCTAGCTAATCACTCCTGCTGCTCTCTCTTAGGTAAAATAACATAAAACATGTGTAGCTCTCCTCCTTCATCAAGTTGGAGCATGCAGATGAACCTGTCTCCTAATCGTGGGTTGTGCTTCTGATTGTTGCCCCCTAGTACTTCTCTGCGCTCCTCCATCACAAATTTGGTCCAGTCTTTCACTATTAAGAATTCATCGCTAATCCTGAATGCACTAAAGTGCATTGTATGATATCTTGGCCGTAAGCTAACAATACTCATGGTACCTTTAGTCTCGATCCCATGAGGCACAACATTCATCGAGAGTCCCTGTTGAAGAACATCGTGTGGTAACATACTTAGCAATGAAGTTTAGCTTAAAAAATAACGTATGGAAAAGATGCACTGAGGACAAATAGTAAAAATCCTACCATCTTTCTTAAATAGATGTGACCGTAGTTCATTACGAACACTATTGGTCGACGTTTTCAGTACTAACATTTCTAAGTGCATGAAGAAAATTTGTCTTGGCAGTATCAAGATCCGCAAGCCATGAAACATAATGACTTAGCTCCTCGCAGTTTAGTTCAGTCTCGAGACAGTAATAGGTCTTGTCTACCAAACGCTGGACATGTTTGCTTGAACGGAAATAAGCTGACAATAGAAATTAGTTGTCAACTATTTTTGAATAAACAATATCAAAGACATAAATATGGTTGAGAAACTCACATAATGGTATAACTGGAGGCGTCTGCACATCGACCCAGATGTCGGTATTACCTTCAATATCATCTTCCGGACGAATATCAAAGGTGATAACCATATCAGGCTCAAATGCATAAGTCTTGCATAGTGCTCGCCATGTTTTGCATCCAAAATAGGTGTAGTCGTTTGCGTTGTATAATTTTGCGTGGAAAATATAACCATGCTCGGTCTTCAAGTAAACTTTCTTTACCTCCATAGTATGAATCAAACATATCTTATCCAATACAAAAACTCTTGCATGGCAGGGGATACGCTAGTAGAATAGTAAAAAAAATTATAAGTTGAAGCAAATGAAGCAGATATCATGCTTAATTTCGAAAAAAGACTTGTCATTGTGAATTATTGTATCCACTTCGAAATTCTCGTCCAGCTTGATGCTGAAGCGCCTATCATCATCTAGGAAGATTCCGTCACGCAGGCCGCGCTCGTCTTCACAGTATTTGTAAATACCGAAATCCTTTTCGTCGTCAGACATTTCCTATGTTCATAGTTGAAACATTAATTGAAAATCAATCGACGACAACTACCAGGATAATCAACACACAAATCTGGGACACTCGATATTTCCTACATATTCTGGCACAAGTCATG